GTCATTGAAATGAACAAAAAAGAGAGTTGGAGAGATAACCCTTCCCAGTGGTACTCCTTGATGAAGCAACACTTTTCTGCTCTGCAGGCCATCAACAGTGATTCTAGTTCTTCTGTTGCGTAAGAAGGATTGGATTCATCTGAGCATGTTTCCTTTCATTCCATTTCAGTTTTGCAGTGAGACCATCTTTACACACTTTGTCAAAAGCTTGTTTGAAATCAACCCAAACCGCCAGGACCTATTTCTTCTCTTGGAAGGCATCTTCTACAGCTGGTGACAGGTAGGTGACTTGGTCTTCTATGCTGTAATATTCTCTAAATTCAGCTTGCTCTGACAACAAGATCTGGCTCAGATTCGAATTACAATTTCAGTTCTGAATTTATAATTCTCTTGAATGTCTTTCCTATACAGCCTAAAGACGTTGTGTCGTTTTAGCTCTCTCTTTCTCTCACTCTCTATCTCTCTCTCTCTCTCTCTCTCTCTCTCTCTCTCTCTCTTACACACACACACACATGCTCAGAAAGAGAGATAGAGAAATACCGAAAGTGAGAGAGAGAGAGAGAGAGAGAGGGGGGGGGGGGGGAGAGAAAGAGAGAATGACTTTAACAGACACGAGATGTATGATCCTTCATTTAGCTGCTAATGTTTTGCTAGCAGGTGATCTCGGCTCTGTAGACCCTTCAGAAGTCTAGTCCGCTGTATCAGCAACGTTGTCAAAGGTACATATACCCTGAAACATATAGTTTTAGAATGTAACATGGGAAAATGTCAATAAGTGCGTGGCGGTGTGTATTTAACCAGATAGCTATGTACCCACAAGCATTAAAAAACACATACAATTATCAGCTAACGAGTCAAACTGAATGTGTGTGTGTGTGTATATATGTGTGTGTGTGTGTATAAGAATGTATATGTGTATGTTTTCATGCATATATACATATATGTATGTATGTATGTATGTATGTATGTATGTATGTATGTATGTATGTATGTACGTATGTACGTATGTACGTATGCACGTATGCATGTACGCATGTATATATGCCTGGCTTGTCGATTTGTGATTGTTGCAAGTAAACACAAGGAAAATGATTTTAAGAAGGAAAAAGAACATTATTATCGCTTCTAATCTTCTTCCTCTTCTGCTTCTTCTTCTTCCTCTTTCTCTTTTTTTTCTTCCTCCTCCTCTTTCTCTTCCTCCTCTCTCTTCCGCTTTCTCCTCTTCTTCATCTTCATCTTCCTCTTCCTCCTCTTTCTCTTCCTCCTCCCTCTTCCTCTTCTTCATCTTCATATTCCTCTTCTTCCTCATCCTCCTCTTCCTCCTCCTCCTCTTCTTTCTCTTCTTCTTCTTCTTCTTCTTCTTCTGCTTCTTCTTCTGCTTCTTATTCTTCTTCTATTTCTTCTTTTTCTTTCTTTATTCTTCTTTTTTCTTACTTCTTTTCTTTTTTCTTCTGTCTTCTTTCTTCTTTGTTTGTTTCTCTCTTCTTTCTTTTGCCTTCTTTCTTCTTCTTTTGTCTTTCTTCTTCCTTCTTTCTTCTTCCTTCTTTCTTCTTCCTTCTTTTTTCTTCCTTCTTTCTACTTTTTTCTTCCTTCTTCCTCCTCTCCCTTTTTTTTTTTTTTTTTTTGGTTACAGTAAAAAATAGGGCGATGAAGAAAATGTGTAAAAAAAAATACACAGGCTGTTTCCTGGGGTAGCCCTATTGAAAAGGAGTTGGAAAAACTTCAGTTCTGTCTTTGTGATGTTGCTTATGCGAAAAACTGAGTTTACAAAATGTGGCTGAACTTGTAGGCACATCACGTGGAATATTGGACAAAAGCTCAAATTGTCTACTATTGGTTGTTTCTTAAGTTGTGACTTTGAGTTCCTCTCTTGTCTTTTTATAAATGTTTGTGTTGTGAGATATTCAAACTGGCTAATCGCTGTTGGTTTAAAAAACATAAGTATGCACCTAAGAAATAGATTATAAACAGCATAGTCATATCAACACGGTACCACAAGTGCCAGACTTGGACCTATCAAAGACTAACCCATGTATCATTAACACCTGTGATCCCTGAGAAAAAGCAGCCAACTTTAACAGCGGACAAATACAACTACAGTGCCATATTCTGACGGTTAAAGAGAACACCAACAACCTAGACAATGTGTTGTCTATCTAGAACCTTCTTGGTTGTTTATAAAAAGAAGATGGCTATTCTGACTTTAATTTTATAAACAAGTGAAAAACATTTGTCATGTATCTGTTATTAATATGTGAACAACTGTTTGTCGTATAAATGTATAACTCTATACTAATCTCTATAAATAATTATACAGTTGTCTATTCCCTTCTATCTACCTAATCGATTCTATATTTTATGAATGTTCCATATAACAGAAATGTTGTGCCGTACCATTGTAAAACTACGTTTCACCTTATATAAATAATATGTAACCTACAACCGGTCTCTGGTAAGAAAAAAAATAAGTATTGTCTACCGAGCTGTGACAGCGTGTGTACAAAGGTTATGAAAGAAAGAAAGCTCACTGGCAAAATTATTCACGTAGTGACATCCGAAACCAATGTTATCGTAAGCACTATGGTCACTCTGGGACGAGTCGACTAGTAATCTGTAAGTGATAAACGGTCTCTGAAGTTTGGTATGCTGTAAACACATTCATGTCTTGCGGACTGTTTGTCAAGACAGGGGCGCTGCCTTACGTTTGTAAACATCTGGAGAGTACTGATTGTTTCGCCTTGACTTTCCCACTTTTTCCCCAACTATTAACAAATCGGTACAATTACGTCGCCTAGCAGAGCTACAGCAAGAAAGGAGAACTACGGTGGTTTACACTAGATGGTTATCTACAGACAAGGGACAAGATGCTTAAGAATAACAGAAAAACCCACGCAACAGCAGTATTCTATTAGTCCTAAATAGGGGAAGCCTGGGGAGTGTCTGTAAAGACAGGGTCGTCGCCTAGAAAAAACATCTGAAGAGTAATTGTTGTTTCGCCTTGACGTCTCTTTGTAGTCGTTTTACCCTCTAATAACATTAGACGGTACAGGGGCTATAGAGACTGGGCCCCGCCATCAGCGGACCCGGGTGCTCAAACCGGCCTGATGTGAAGGGGAATGTCGCTCCTGATTTTCCGAATTTTCTTCCAAGATAAAAGCTATCCGCGGGTCACCCCATCGACACATACAACTCCCATCCGCATTCCCATCCTCGTTTTCGTCTGCATCCACGTTGACATGCCATCATCATTTCCATCCCCATTCTGCAATTTTCACTCTGCAAATAATATGGTCAATTACCGCCTATGCTACTACTAGTATTGTTCCATAGTTGAATCTCAACTTGTCTCTAGTAGTTAAAATTGTGTAGAGATATATCAGCGTGTGTCATCTTCACTATATTAGTGACGTGCTTGGCACGTTAAAGGTTGTTAATGTTTTGTTATTTGTGAAAAGCGCTTAGTTTTGTGTTCAGTGAAATAAATAGATGTTCAGTGTAATGCTTATATTTATTTGCTTGATTCAAGTTAGAATTTGGTAGTTCGATAGCCACGTGGTATATCTAGGCGTTGCCCTAGTCATGTTGTTGGGTTGTGGTTGTATAACACAGCTATTTCACACATCATTTGTCTGGGTTTAGGCGAAATATTCCAGGGCCCCTGCAAAGAAAAACTCCTTGTTTTGTCCTTACTTTCATGTGTTTTATCGTCAGCAGGGAACTACTATATTTTGCCCTAACCACAGTTTCTCTTTCTTCTCTCCATACTTCTAGTTTTTTCCTTTCCTTCTTCCTGCTAGCACATTGATAATATTTTACAAACCCTTCCAGACATGAACCGTGGAGAGAAATGGATGCCGATTCTAAACGAAAACAAGCAGTACTATTTAGAGGTTATCACCCTGACAAGACAATGCCGTGATTTGGCACCACCAAAAATTGACGCAGAAGTGACAGCACTGGTTACGGAACACACAACACTGAAGGTGCTGTTATTTGTACAGATAGTTCTGTGATTCTCAGAAGCGAAGTGCATGGGTTTGCACGGCAAGAACTCCAGGAAAAGTCATCACAGAAAATATTGAAGCCTTAGCGACAACCAGCAGTATGACAATGGAAGTCATGGCTGTGACAAAGACCCTGGAATGGCTGAAACCTCAGGAATTCACCAATGCACGCTTTTTCCGGGACTCAATGAGCATGTTACAGAAAAACAAGGCAGGGCATTCACTGAAACAGTGGTTCCATCTGATACAGCACGCTGCGTTTTTCTCAAAATTACCCTAATTTTGGTCTCAGGGTATAATGATGTGAAAGGCTGGCAGTGCGACTATCGGGAATGAGCCGTTTATGGACAGGAAAGACATCATCAATGCCTTACGAAAGACCAGGAGAGACATCATCAATGCCTTACGAAAGACCAGGAGAGACATCATCAATGCCTTACGAAAGACCAGGAGAGACATCATCAATGCCTTACGAAAGACCAGGAGAGACATCATCAATGCCTTACGAGAGACTAGGAGAGACATCATCAATGCCTTACAAGAGACCAGGAGAGACATCATCAATGCCTTACGAGAGACCAGGAGAGACATCATCAATGCCTTACGAGAGACCAGGAGAGACATCATCAATGCCTTACGAAAGACTAAACGCTGTCAGACTTTTAGTTTCGTGGAAAATGACTTTTCACTGAACAAACTGGAACTGGGTGTACCAATTGGAGCTGCGAGACAGGAAAACCATGTGGGAGCTACCCGTCGTTACATCATCCTGAACAGAATGAGAGTTGTTAGCCTAAAAACACTTAGATAACTACTCAGGAGGATTTCGGAGCACTTATAGCCCTGTCCGATGTGGGATGAAGATGATCTTTAAATAAACAAAGAAAAATATTTTACAAATTAAAGTTTAATATTCTACTTCAAAATATTGCATCTACGCAATGAACAAATGCCACGCACTCGCTATGGTTCATCCCTCTTGTGTTGTCGCTGTCTCTATACACCCGCGCCCTCTGCGCCTGCAGAATGACCAGCGTTGGCAAATGAGCTGGTCTGTGAAGAAGTGCCGAAGTTGATACATTCACAGTGAGACGGTACCTCGTGAGCCACCAGCTGGACCCCAGCGACACTTGACCATACGAGAGTCCAGTGTGCTCTGTACACTTGCTTACATCTGGCCTGACCTCCACTGCAGAACGTGTTCTCGTTTCTAATATTGTCAGATATAAAACAGTTTCAAATATTCAAGGTTTAACTGTGGTATAAATGTAAAAGATTTATCATAGGCTAGATGTGTGGGCAGATTTAGGATCAGACTAAGCTTACTGCAGTTGTATGCGCCATGACCTAATACATTAACCACACACAGACAATCTGTGGAGGTCACACGAAATTGACACTGATCAGTAAAAGTAAAGGATCCTTTTCCACGCCTCTCAGTCGCATTAGGTATATAAGGCTAGACCTATATTTTATCAACCAAACGGCACTTGGTGGGTGATGTGGTCAGCATCACGCCTGTCGCCTTCACTTCCCATGACTGTACCTGGTGCCCACTCAAGGCTGGGTCGACCTGGGAGCCAAGGTCATTTTTTGGAAAACACCCTGATTAGGAACCGAACCCACAACTTTCCGATCCGCAGCCAAGCGTCTAGCCGCTAGACCGCCGCTGCTCCCAAATTGACACTAATGCCTAACTTAAAATTTGTAATTCTAATGACACATCAGATATGTTGTGTGGAACGGAAACATGCAGAACAATCAAGGCAATTACTAATAAACTATAAACATTCGTTGACTAGTGCCTGCGCAAAAAAGAGTAAATCAATGGTATGACTATGATAGAATCACTAACGGTGAGCTTTTACAAAGAACTAAACAAATTCTAGAGGGCCAAAAGCTGAAGAAAAGACGCTAGCGTTGAATATGACACGCGTTGCGGAAACCTGACAAACGATATAATTAGAATGTCTTTGCACTGGAACCCACAGGGGCATAGGAAAAAAAGAAAGACTAAAAATTACACAGAGAAGGCCGGTAGAGAGCGAAGTTAAAAAAGATGGGAAGAACATGTGGTGGGGTGCATGCGAAAGCAAAGGATAGAATGACTTGGCGTGAGTTGGTTGGGGGGTTATGCATCATTAGGGGATAGAAGGCAGAAGAAGAAGGCTGCAACCATTCCTTGAGGGGGCTATGAGTGATCCTCCTCCTAATTCACATATAAATTATCTTTACAGATAAGTGTTTTACATTTCATATTTCTTCTTAGCCATTCACAATTCCACTGTCGAAACCAATGCAAGACAAACCGCCCGCAGCTTGGCTCGAACCCGGCACCCAGGCATTACGAAGCGTGTTTGCAACGCCTAAGCCACAGACTCCGACATAGTTATGTGTGGATGTCCTAATAATGGTGGCCACTGGTGAATACCTGCAAATGCTTTCAAACAAACAAACAAACAAACAAACAAACAACGAAGACAAATAATAAAGTCAGGAACTTACAGACACTTCCCTGATGGAATAAACTGGTAAGCGTTTTGTAGATTGATCACTGTATGGTTTTGTCCGTTGAAATCGGTCACTTCTGTTGTCACTTCGTAGCCAATTTCCCTGATGTCATACACAGAGTTGTGAGTGGGTACATATAAGTTCATTGCAATTTAAAAAAAACTGAATGAAAGTCAGACAACTATCAATGAAAGGAATTTTACATAATCTTAAATACAATATTATTCTACACTTCTATATCATGTTGGAAAGTATTTGTTTAAATTAAGGAATGAGGATATGTTGCAAGTAAAGAAAGCAGGAATGCAATTTTCGTCTAATAGACGCCCACAGAAAGATGCATCCATTGTAAAATGACTTTTACTGCACGGTTTTCAAGTTGTTTGGCAGTGAGCCAGCAAGTCCTTTAGGACATCTTCCACATGTAAAGAAAAGTACTCACAAAAATAGAGATTATTACTTATGTCTGTGTCGAGGAGGGGGGGTGGGGGGGGGGGTATGAAACTGCCACCGGTGTAAAAGTCAGGAGTTAATTAACAGAAATAAAGAAGTTAGTTTTACAAGGTGGTTTTTTGTTTTTGGTTTTTTTGCGGGGGTGAGGGTGTAAAGCAGTGCAGAAGGATATGACACCTGATGAGTTGGCTGATGAAACAAGAAACATCATCATCACAACAGCTCAGAACATGATTCCTAAAAAAACGACACAAGAAATAGATTTACATTACAGAAAAAACTTTCAACCTGATAGAGGAAAAAAGAAATTTAAAGCAAGTAGGGACAGAAAAAAATATCCATGTATATAGGAACTACACGAAAGAAATCAGAAGAGCTATCAGAGAAGATAAGAAACAGTTTATTATAAATACCTGTAATAGAATTGAACAACTCCAGATGCAAGGAAGAGACAGACATGTTTAAAGAAATTAAACATTGAAATGCGAATTCAGGCCTTCTTTACATGTAATAAGTGATAAAAACGGTAACACATTAACGGAAACCAAAGACATATTAGAAAGGTGGAAAGAATAGCAATGCAAAGATTGAACAGCCTTAAAAGTCTATGGTTAAGCACCAGCAAGGAAATCAAAATTAGAATTTTGAGAGCATGCATCTTCCCTGTGGCTACATATGGGTGTGAGTCGTGGACTATCTCTCAATCCTTGAGCTTAAATGTTAAAGAAAGATTCTCAGAATATCTTGGACAAAGAAGATGAGAAATATTGACATCTAAAAGATCTGAACATCAAGGAAGATTGGCTAATAAACAGCATCCTTTCTCGAAAGCTGAAATATTTTGGTCATATCAAGCGCCACGGCGGATTGGAAAAAATTATAGCAGAAGGCATGGTACCAGGAAGGAGGGGCAGGGGCCGACCGACACGAAGATGGGCACAGGATATAAGTAACTCCTTGACTATGAAAATGCATGAGGCGGCAGAGCTGGCGAGAGACCGAGTTTCTTTTAGGCAGACCGTGATAAGAGCGAAGGACCGGCTACATGATGATGATGATGAGGGTGGAAAATTGGGTGGGGGCCTTAATTTTGACACTGATCAGCAAAGCAATACTCGGAAATAACAAACATCTAGTTAGAATTAAAATTAAATCGATTGGGATAAGAGAATCAAGATATTCTAATACAATCGAGAGGAGGAGAGATTAAAAATATTCTAATACAGTCAAGGGGGTGAGAAGATGAAGATATTCTAATACAGTCAAGGGGATGAGAAAATGAAGATATTCTAATGCAGTCAAGGGGATGAGAAAATGAAGATATTCTAATACAGTCAAGGGGATGAGAAAATGAAGATATTCTAATGCAGTCAAGGGGAAGAGAAAATGAAGATATTCTAATACAGTTAAAGGGTGAGAAGATGAAGATATTCTAATACAAACAGTGGATAATTGTTAAATAAATGAATATAAATCTCACACTAGGGATCATCTCGTCTCCGGCCTCTTGTACTTTGCTCAAATGGCCAGGTGCACGCTTCTTTCACAGCAAAAGGAAGCGATACGTTGGTCAAGTATAACGAGTGATCAATCAGCCAATAACAACAAAGGTTGGCTGCACTTAAATCTCCAACACGCTCGGTCTTTCGTCTTCGATTTACACCCACACATACTGCTCTTCAGCCATTTCTGGACGTTATCCTCCAGTTTGCATCGATGTCTGCCTCTTGCTCGCCTGTCTTCAGAATTTTTAACTATGGTTAAAATGTCGGTGTTTGTGGCTTAGGCGTTGCGAAAGTGCTTCGTAATGCCGGGGTGCCGGGTTCGAGCCCAGCTGCGGACGGTTTGTCTTGCTTTGGTTTTAACAGTGGCATAAACAGCTGACGCTCCAGAAAGCAAAGGCAAACTACTGAACGACAATTTGCCTTAAAAACCACAACAGCAAAAAAAAAAAATTCCTACAGGTACTGCAACGTCCTGTAAAGGATGCGCAACTAACTTGTAACTAACAGATTAAAGAGTGTTATTTCTTTTGAAATGGCCAAAATGCTTCACTTGGCTCTATTGTTTTCCTTCGGAAACTCTGTTCATTCTTAGCCTGTTCAGAACCTCTTTATTTGATTCTGTTCATTTCATAAAACGACATGTTCTTCACATCTTAAGATGTACTACAATTTTATGGTTGCTTGTTCATTGTTTAGTTCTCTGTAACATACAAATGCGCTGAGTATAAATAACATGTGACAGCCCTAATTTATTTTACTGTTACCTTTATTATTGAGCGATAGATGAGTGCATTTCTCAGACCACTCTCTGTGGGAATCTGATAATGGTAGTAGAGGCTCTGGGCGTCCAAGGTTACCATTTAAATGTGCAAGCGGGGCGAAGGACAAGGAAAACATAAAAATAGGCAAAATGAGGAAAAAGAAAATGTGGTTAGGACAATAAGTAGTTATCCGCTGAACAGCGAAAACTGGAAAAGTCGAGAAAAGACAAGGTTTCTTCTGTGCAGGGGCCATGAAACATGCTCATCATAGCTATGGCAGAGGATACGTGAATAACAGTATTACACTACAACAACTGACTACAACTACACAATACTACATAGGTTAGGCCTAAACAAACCACATGCAAACTACAAGTTCTATCTTGAATCAAGTAAATGAATATAACCACCACATTCAACATCTGTTCAATTGACTGAACACAAAATTAACGTTGCTTCACAAATAACAATACACTAACAACCAACGTCGAGTTCACACAGGCTACGCGCAAAGCACTTCAACTAACAAAAATAAATATTATCTTCTAGAGACATACAAATCCAATATCGCCAGGCGATGATGCACATTTATATCTAAGTCTACACAGTTTAACTACTGGGGGAAATGTATATCTATGACCGAAACTAACCATAGAACATACTACCGCTGTAATCAAGGAGCCAGACTATCTCGGCCTGGTCAGTTGCACCTGTGCTGCGATGAGACCACGTGAGATTAGCATCAGCAACCCCTGGGCAACTGACCACGGCCAGCCGAGAATACACCAAGACAGCCCAACTTGGAGGGTGTACAAAGTCTTTTTATAGACACAGTGACTCCATAAGCTGCTAGATTGTTGTCGTTGGTGTAGCTTTACAAATAATTATAAAAGGTCTTCGGAGTTCTGTCATACAAAGGTAGCTGCAAACCGAACACTAAATTTGTATGGAAAACGTTCCAAATTATCATAGTCTTGATGTCTCTTCTTTTTTTCTTTTCTTGCGCACTGTCAATGGTTTGCAGAAGAGCAGGCCACAGGCTTCTTTGAAGGCACTGATGTCCTCCACTCATCCATACAGCTAGTTTCCATCGAAATGCCAACCAGCCAAACCTTAGATTTTTCTACTGCATGTAGAGAGCATGTTTGCCGAATATGTTCAGTACTAAGGGGTGCCTGCCCACATGGGCGAAGTTTGGAGTCCCCGGTCTTGAATTTCCTGTACGTATGGATATCACAGAGGTTCGGGAAAGATTGCCAATGAAAAGAGAATTAGTGAAGGAAATTTAAAAAAAAAAAAAGAGAGAGAGTCGAAATACTTTGGCTACATTAAAAGACATAACACGCTTTTAAAAACCCAATTGGAGGGAAAGGTCGAAGATAAGAGAGCAAGAGGTGGGCAATGATACAAGTGGCAACAGAATACCAAGAGATGGATGGGCAGCAGTCTGAGAGAGTGTACAAACAGGACAAGAGAAAGAATGCGTTGGAGATCAATTGCAGCCAACTTTCACTGTGGGGACGTCACGTGATTAATTAATTGATTGAGATGTAGCGGTGAATTGTACAAATATTGTACGAAAATGGAACATGTTATGGCCACCGGTAAAATCTGTTTAAAGTGAGATAGAGGAAGGCAACGCAAGAAGATTTTTGACAGCCTTTTGACATGACATGGAGGGGTGTCAACATACGAACTGATTCACGCAGCTGCTGGTAGCAGATTGTGGGTAGGCATGCTCCCTCAAGTCAAGGCACTTGATGATGATGCACATGCACTAAGTTATAAGGGTATTAGACTTTCATATCGTCTTTTGACAGTCGACGCAGTGTGGCTTTGGTAGTCATGTCTTTTCACAAATTTTTGTCTCGGTAATTCATTCAATAACTTTTATTACATAATATCTCCCATGAGAAGCGGCTGGCCGAACGGTTAGAACGCTGGACTTTCAAGCGGGAGACCTGGGTTCGAATCATCGGTAAGGCTGGGGATTTTTTTCGGTCGGGGCAAAATGAAAACCTCACCTACACAGTCGTGGCGACAGCGATAGCCATGCGACCTATATCCTCAGGCTCAAAGACCCTCTGCCTACACCGAAAAAGTAGTATAATAAAGGCAGTTGAAAAAAAAATCTGCCATGCTATCAAATCAAACTGAGATATGACGTTTCTTTAAAAAAATACACACAGTGTGTTGCAATATCTTTCTGTCCATAGTGGGCGGGTTGTCCTAGCCATTTTGCAAACAGATGCATCCACTGCCTGGCACAGTTAAGTGGTGACAAGTTCTCAAACCATCAACAGTAACCTGACCGGGGTCTAAATGGGTACTCTACCACTGCCCATGAGGTGTACCCTAGGCTAGCGGACGGCAGAAGGCACCTTACATCCCACGTTGGCCCTGCTATCCAAAGGCTTTTTATATATAACCAGACTTATCCTTATTTGGGAAATATTTTATCCCAGACACATTAAACACAAATATTGCTGTAGTCACTGTAGTGAAGGGCACAGCAAAGAGATGCAATATGCACCCGACTGCGCCATTTTGCAGTGAGTATTATTGCGCTCTTCCTCTCCGGTCTCACATGCTACTATTCATTATATTACAGTAAGGGTCACTTAGTGAAATAACATTACACAAGACATTACCCGAAGAGGCCTAAAACACTAGGAAAAAAGTAACAATAACTTCAACTTACGTGAGACAAACTCCGCAGGGCATTCGGCCATGAACCTCCTCGGTCTTGAGAGCTTCTTGTGCTTGCGGACTCAGAACATACCTGGCCACAGTTTGTCTGCTGCTGACATGCCGTTTGTGTTGTCCCTGCCCAGTTGAGACGAAGGATGATTTTGTGAAGCTCGTGCTCAGAAGTAAACCCGTGAGGAAATATTTTGCCGATGTCGCTAAATGTTTTCGCGTAGCACACATCTGGGTTATACACATGACCGTGTGTCCCTTCTATAGTCTGTGGGTTGATATTATAACACAGTCTGTTCAAATCTGGTCTCCTGCTGTGATACATCCATGGAGGATCAAGTGTAGAACTGCTGAATGTTTGATTTCGAGCAGAGTCCTGTAGAAAGAGACTGTCGCCTTCAAGATGGGTCTGAAAGTTGGCGGCTCTGTCCACCGGCTTCAGCTGCCGGCCAGTCCTGTAGTACAAAAGGCAGTACAGAAGAGGAATGTTCGACATCATGTCGGTCAACTTTCATCTGCGTCTGATGAGAGTTAAAAGATATACACGTGGACCTAAATGGCTTGGATGTAGCTGACGTTGGCCAAGTTATTGGCGTAAACGGTCTGTGTAGTCCAGTAACCGAACACGGACACAGGAACTAACGGCAGTATGGATAACCGAACAATTGGATTCTAGACACAACTAACGGCAGTATGAATCACCGGACAGCTGGATTCTAGACACAACTAACGGTAGCATGTATCACCATACAATAGGATTCTAGACACAACTAACTGCAGTATGAATCACCGGACAGATGGATTCTAGACATATCTAACGGTAGCATGTATCACCATACAATAGGATTCTAGACACAACTAACGGTAGCATGTATCACCATACAATAGGATTCTAGACACAACTAACTGCAGTATGAATCACCGGACAGATGGATTCTAGACAGAGCAACAGCTGAAACAACGAGCTTTCTAGTGCTGCAGTTTGTATCAAGTACAAAAGTAGTTTTTTAAGATACCTAAACAGGACGAGGAGCTCATGCGTGTCATAATCAGTGTACTGCGGAGACAGCATGTAAACCTTTAGATATTTGCAGTCATAGGCTGAGCACCTATAGCGGTCGCCCGGACTGCTTTCTTTGCAATAAGTAGCACCCACTTCTGGCAATTATCATTCACTGGCCTTGAACAACTAGTCATATACCGCATTGAACTATCAACCTATTTCGTACACAAGTATGAGTGATGCCTTAGTATCAGTTTGTTTAGATTTCAGTGACCTGTAGTTTCCGTACCGAAACCGCGTGATTTAATTACCAGATTGTAATACACAGTTCAAATAGATCAACGAACAAGCTTCTTGAGAAAATACCCAGTAACGCTCCCAGCCTCTCCCTCCGTTTTATATAAATTGTCATTCTTGAGATTCTGCAAACAAAAATTGTTCTATTGAAAATCTCCATTATATGTAGAAGTGCACCCGAAAGAACTTTTCCATTTGAAAAGAAACGGCATGCATCAAAGCCCCAATACACTGGCAAAAAACTAGCAAAATCTTGCTAAACTAAAATCTCATAAAATTCCACCTGTGAACAGTCTGAAGTTATTTCAGCCTGTCCGCAGGAAAAATTGAAAAGTTTTACGTAATATAACTTTAATAATGTCGTTAGGCTTTTATTAATTTGGGGACGAGAGACCTGACTTGCCCAACCAAAACCCCAGAACTGCTGCGATTACGTTTCTTGCTACGTCGCATTACCAACTGGCAGAAGCGAGGAGACTGTCACAGCTTCCCTGTAGCACCTGTCTTGTTATCTGTCAGGGCATAATTAGAACCACAAGTGATGTTTAATGACACTGGGAGGGCGTGACTTACCCGCTGACCCACATCGTTGGTTCCCTGTATCGAATGGATCATCTTCTATATCCGGAGTACAGCATGTAACCAACTGTGTGTGAGTCAGAGAAAGAGATCACTAGCGACAGATTGGGGAGGGGAGGGGGAAGAGGAGAAAAAGAGAGACTCAGAAACAGAGCGAGAGAGAGAGGAGAGGAGAGGAGCGGTGAAAAAGAGAGACTCAGAAACAGAGCGAGAGAGAGAGAGAGAGAGAGAGAGAGAGAGAGAGAGGAGCTGAGAAAAAGAGACTCAGAAACAAAGAGAGAGAGAGAGAGAGAGAGACACTTACAATGAGAGAGACGCATTGTTGGATCCATTTCACATGGATCACCTACTAAAGCCGGATTACTGCGTTTAGCCGCGCGAGCGTGCACTTGTGTGTGTGTGTGTGTGTGTGTGTGTGTGTGTATTGTGTGTTTAAGAGACAATGGAGCATTTGCCCATTCTAAGCTACGTCAATATTGCATTAAAATGTCTTTATCATCTTGTTTGTTTTTTTAAACACCATCAGTCACCAACAGAAATTGTCATGGGCAGTTAGTCATATCAATCGCTATAGGGGAATAGAAAAACAAAAGAATAGCAGAAGGCATGGTATCAAGAAGGAGGGGCAGGGGCAGACCAACACGAAGATGAACACAGGATATGAGTGATTCCTTGAATATGAAAGTACAAGAAGCAGGAGAGCTGGCAAGAGACCAAGTTTCTTTCAGACAGACCGTGATGAGAGCAAAGGACCTGCTATATGATGATGATAATGAGAAAGCGTAATTAATTCAAAAATGAGTTTTGAAGGACTCTTCGCCACTGCTGCGTTATGTGTATGGTGCTAGAGCAAGGCGTTAGACCAATCGGCACTCGTTAGGTGATCTCGTCAACAACACGCCATCAACGCCAGCAATTCTCTTCTACTATCATGAACTCTGCTGCTCTGGTTTTCATTAAATGTAACTGTTTTTTCGACCATATAGACTCTAATTAGCAATGCGTTATCAATTGTGTAGCATCAAGTAAAACATTATGTGTGCTACCCGGTGTGGGCGTACGCGTATGTACGTGATGAGCGCATGTGTGTTTGTGCGTGTGTGTGTGTGTACATTTGACATGAATCGTTTTCATAATGCAAGACATAAATTTAGAACACGTAGAACTAAATTTTATATAACAGAAATCAGCGATGAACAATGTGGATTTGTGGAAGGAAAAAGTGCAAACAATGCCATATACATCCTAAGGACATTGTCAGAAGAGCTATAGAAGTAAAGACTAATTTGTACTTATGCTTCATAGACTATACAAAAGGATGTGTACTGTCACCTGATTTGTTTTCAATATACAGTGAATATATAATGAGATCTTTAATTGATATGCCCGGAATTGTGGTTGGTGGGCACAATATAAACAATTTATGTTATGCTGATGAACAGTCTTGATAGCAACAAGTCAGAACGAACTACAGGAAATGATAGATATTGTGGTGTTAGAAAGTGGAAAAAGGGGCCTCAGTTTGAATAATGGGAAGACAGAAGTAATGGTGGTATCAAAGAAACGAATTATTTCTAAATGTGTAATAAAAGTCAATGGTGTTATTTTGGGACAAGTATAGAAATTTGAGTATCTGGGCACATGGATAACATCAGATGGAAGATGCATAACTGAGATAAGAAACAGAATAGGACAGGCAAAAACTGCATTTTTAAAATGAAGAACATCTTGTGCAATATATCTTTGTCACTGAGAGTTTAAAAAAAGAATTCTTGCTTGCTACATACATCCACTTTTAACATATGGCTGTAAATCCTGGACAATCGATAGGCATGCCAAACAATTTCTTGAGGCCTCAGAGATGTGGTTTTACTGGAGAATGCTTAGAATACCTTGGACAGCCAAAAAGAGCAGCCAATAGGTTTTTAAAAAAAGACAACTTATCACAGACATCAGAAGAAGACAGTCATAATTGTTCGGCCATGTTAGGAGAAGAGGGAAACTAGAACATGTTGTGACCACTGGAAAGATCTGTGGAAGGAGGGATAGAGGAAGACAACGAGAGAAGATTCTTGACAGTCTTGTTGCATGGCATGGAGGTGTGTCGGCACACAAACTGATACATGCATTGTGGAGAGGCATGATCGCCCTGATGATGATGATGATAATAACTAATTTGTAAGCTTAGACTAAACAAAACAAAAATATTCAGTAATCAGTAATTCCTCTGAAATGCTCCGACACAGATGCCCACAATGACAGCTCATCACACAGCTCGCAGGATTGTTGTGATCAAGACCTGTACGGCACAGTTTGAGACCTGCTGAGTTCAATGATTGATTAGAGACAAGTGCGTGACCAGACAGTCGTAAAGATGTCCCTGTGACTTTGTCTAGACTTCATTTTCACTATTTCATTTTTTAAAGACACATTAAAAACCTGGCTCCTGAGAGCTTGGATGTTTACGGATATTTCATGTGTACGTGTGAACAATGATAAAAGTTGTGTTAAGCCTGGATGGGAACACAATTGAAATAGCAGTACATCAATCTTGTCTCTAATCAAAACATAATGAGAGACAATACTGACGATGATTCACAGTAGGTATCCTGGGCACGCAGACTTGAATGCAGTAACTGTGTGATATCATAGACACTTTTACACGCGTTCAATAAACAGACTAAACTTAACCAGAACTGTACATGTAGGTTCCAATAACCAGCAATTATGTGAATTACTGCGTACTGGACAACTTAGGAACGCCCACTATAAAATAATAACTGTTACTATGCCTTCTGGTTAAATGACACAATCATGTCAACGAACCGTAGATTCTTCTTTGCGTTCTTCTTCTTCTTCTTCTTCTTCTTCTTCTTCTTCTTCTTCTTCTTCTTCTTCTTCTTCTTCTTCTTCTTCTTCGTCTTCTTCGTCGTCTTCTTCTTCTTCTTCTTCTTCTTCTTCTTCTTCTTCTTCTTCTTCTTCTTCTTCTTCTTCTTCTTCTTCTTCTTCTTCTTCTTCTTCTTCTTCTTCTTCGGCGTTCTGCGCCCTTGAGGTTCATTGCTACTGGTATCACCCGCCTCCACTCTTCTCTCTGGTTGGCCTTCTCTTTCCAGTTGGTGACACCAAGTGTTTGCAGGCCTCTCTCGACATTATCTCTTTATCGTCTTCTTGGTCTGCCTCGTGGTCGACCATTCATCCCCTTTGTGCATACAGTTTCTACCCCTCTGTCATCTGACATTCTGTCAATATGCATTTCAACCTATTAGCTCTCATGATGCCAATGATCAATGGTGATTTAAACAGATTATGAATTTCGTTGTTGCTTTTCACTCTCCTTTCCCAGCTGTTTGCATCTTTGATTGGTCCAAAAATTCGTCGCAATACTCCGTTTTCAAAAACCTTGGCGTTTTCTTGGCGTTGACCGGGCGTAAATCTAGCGGAGAGTCATAGTTTCAGGTTATGCACCTCGGTGATAATCAATAATACATGGCATGAACATGTGGATGACTGTGGTCGAATTGGTATATATGAATTAACTGAACACAAAATAATTAGGGAACTATATATAAATATAAGAAAAAAGGCGGTCACTGTTCTTTGTTCACGCGAAGAGAAGACAG